AATCTTGCTTCCAGAAAATCATCAAAATTGAGCTTCATTAGTTTGTCCAAAATAATTTTTGCAACTTTCAAGTAGGCTTTCCTGTCCTTGTAGCTGCTTGGACATTCGAGTATATCTTAGAAAGCTGACAATAACTTGTAACTATGAACTAGAAGCAAATTGCGTGATCACTTAACCTGGAGCAGAAGCAATGTTACACTTTCAAGTCTTTTTGTTCCCTTTGAGCAATAATGTATTAGTGGATTTGTGAAGTCCGGAGAGGAGCATCTCTGTACTTGCACACACGTTAACACAAGTAACTTAATAGTTCTCTCCACATGCTGGATCTGAAATTAAATGTCATCAAACATAAAAAAAGAGAACAGGGAGATCACAATTTAAGAGAAACACATGCTTAAAAATGTTACGTAGGTAATGTGCATAGTGGCTTAACCAAAAAAGTTTCCACGTGTAAAACTTACTCAACTAGGTTAGCTGACAGCCTGGCACATTGTTTGACATGATTCTCATGCATATTTTTCTACTGCTGTTGTTTAGGATAGTTCTTATGTTTTGTATGCACTAGGCATAGCTAAGATGAGTGTTTGATTCTGCCTCATGTTTATCAGAACACAGCTATTAAAAGGAAAAAAAGAAAGAGAAAGAGAAGAATGTGAAAAGTGTTGTCTATTAACTGATTGACCTCCCCAATGAGTCTTACCCTATCAGTTAACATGGTTTAGATCCCCCAGTTGGTGTGGTAAATAGTGCTGCTCTCTTCTCCATAAATTAGAAAATATTGACCTTCCTTTCATGTGTACAGGTGATTTTATTTATGAGGTTTCTTCTCATTCACCAACTCGGCATTTTATTATACATTCTCGGAAGGCATTACTGAATGGAATCAGCCCAGCAGATAATCGAAAAATCCCCCCACTCAAGTAGGCAGTTTGTAATAGCTTAATAATCCAGCAAGGATTTATGATAATGAACCAAGTGAAATTATATATCTCTATTTAATCATTTACTGGTGTATTTGTAGCCAAGACTTTCCTGTCTTTATATCTCATCAATTGTTCCTAATCACTGATAAACAAATGGATGTTAGTAATTGCTCATAATGACTAGCTAAGGTGGCAATTGATAGGTATGAGTACTACTATGCCCTTTTGCGTGATTTCCCTGATCTGCAGTTCACGATAAATGGAGGCATAACTTCTATTGAGGAGGTAAGTATCGCAAACCTATATGGAGTTGACATGTACAAATTTGTGAATAAATGCTTTTAAAATGCAAAAATCAAATGTTGACAGAATGCTGGATGTCTGATCCATTTAAAATACCTAATACTTCCACATCTTGAGAAGGCTATGATATCTCCTTGATAGGCTTCTTTCTGTTTGAAAAATAACTCGTCAAAAAAGAAAGAAAAAATTAAAAGAGATGCATGTATATTCTCTTTCTTAGTCAACAAAAATCTAGATACAAATTATGCCCCTCCCAATTCAGAGTCCAATCTTGTGCCAATTTAGGCCTGGGAAGTTTCGCCGAAAACTGTATAAGTAACTGGTTTTTCTAGTCTTTCTTGCACATTGATTGTTTAGGCTTTGTCAAACTTCATACTTGCACATAGAATTTCTTCTCCATTTACCGATCTTTTTGTGGTTAACATATTCTATTTTAACGCTGCACTTTCATAAACCTACCCCTTTTCTGGTTGTTGCATTTGTAGGTTAATGCGGCACGCATAGAAGGAGCTCATGGGGTTATGCTGGGACGTGCAGCTTACGGACAGTACGAAAAGTTTCTATATTTGTAGCCATTTCAATATTTTGACCTTAATTGTTTGATATATGTGTACATATTTTTGTATTCCCTTCTCCTAGATGTTCACTTATTTGTTTTACACTTCACTACTAGTTCTTTTATCTACTAGACACCTGAGTATGACCTCCCAAAATATAGATTTCTATGGATTCTATAGGTTTGACATATTCTCCTGTAATGCCTTTGTGGATCTTCTTGAGAAGAATGTCCTCGTAGATCTTGCAAGTTGATAATTGTATGTTTGAGCTAACCATTAAATTGAAAAATAAAAATAAAATTGTCTGATCGTCTCTAGAGAACTTGAAAGACAATGCCCACCGGCTTCTCTTTAAGTTGATATTCCCAATAAAGTAGTTAATTTTCTGAAGAGAGATGGCTTTTACACCCTTTGGGGTGGCTCAGGTGGTTTGGATTGGGACTTCCATAATGGAAGTCTCAAATTCGAAACCCCTTTCCTGAGACAGCAGGGGGTTGTTCTTCTTGGTCGAGCTTGTCGCACGGGGCTTGCTTAGTGCGTGCTTAGTGCGGTTCACCTCTCCTATGTGGTTCTGTGCTCACCCAAAAGGTAGCGGCTGCGGGGTCCCTTGTCAACAACGCCAAAGAAAAGAAGAGAGGTGGTTTTTACTACACATGATACTTTAGAGTTGTAAATATGCTGTGTACTTCAAATTTATTGTTTTAAGCTATTCTTTCTGGATAAGCTTGCTGGTGTGGATCCATAAGAAAGATTCTTGGTAAGTAGAAGCTTTTCATATTCATTGGGTTATTGAGAAAAAAGAGCAGCAACCTTTTGACCTCTGTAGGGGAATATGCAAAAAAAATACCAAGTAACAGTAAGTCAGTAACTGAAATCTGAATAGTGGACGTCACGTGATAAAGTAGGGATCTTGTGACTCTGATTCTAGTTTTTGGGTCGATAATGCAGAATGACAAATCCCATTATATGTTTTGAAGCTCTAACTGCTAACCTTGACAGCTTATTTTTTATTAGGTTCTCTCATTTTCTTGACATGTTAAGACAACTCATGCTTTTGACAGTCCATGGCAGATTCTAGGACTTGTTGACAGCGCCATATATGGTGCACCTCTTCGTAGTATAACTCGGCGCCAGGTTCTCATTGGCATCTGCATTTTATTTTTTGAGTGAAATCTTCCTACTTGAATGACATATGATCTCATTATTACTCGCGTCTTTGTGGTGGCAGGTTCTTGAACAATATCAGGTCTATGGTGATTCGGTCCTTAGAATATATGGACCTAAGCCAACTGTCCGGGAAGTTGTCAAGGTAGGGTCTCTGATCACTTTATTGTTTTGAGCTATTAGCCTTAGCTGTGTTTGGAATTCCGCAAGCTAAAAAACTTCTAAAAACTTAGTAAGCGAATTTCTGTTGTCTGGACATTGTATTCTACTGATGCATGGTTTGGCCTATCTTCCTCATAATTGCTCTGTATATTCTCTTCTTTTCTTAGTTTTAACATTTAATTAGGGCTTTGACTCCCAACACATTTTACTGTTGTCATCATTTGAACTTTTCCCTGTACAGCCTTTGCTTGGCCTATTTCATGCAGAGCCTAGAAATGTTGTGTGGAAGCGTGCGGTTGATGCTGCTTTCCGGCACTGCACGGTATGTCACTACTGAATTATGACAATAAGAAGTGCTCTCTTTAATAATCATGACAGATTGAATTGCTCTTTCCATTGTCATATTCTGCTGTGGTGGAATTATCTCTTTCACCTAGTATGAAAGAAATTTCTGAGACTACATTTCATTTTCCCGAGTGGAATCTGATTTTTGTAGTTTAGAGAAAATTGTTGGAAGAGTTATAATGCTTCTTTATGTTGGAGAAATAATAAAAGAACCATGAGAAGATGTGAAAATGGTAGGCATTGCTACATATTAATTTGATTTTATGAAATTCATGGACCTTGCCATTTTAGGAAAGATGTCACGTTACGTGCATTTTAAGCACATTCATATCTAAACGAAAAAATAATATCAGAAACAATAGTTTGATGTGCCTGTATGGCCCATCAGGAGCAAGCTTTGTTAAATTTTGTTTGTCGCTGGCAGGGTAACTTTAAAGTTCTTTTCCATTCAAGCCCTCCTGCAGTAAGTTTTTGAAACTGATTTTAAACCTTGTAGACAATTAAATCCCTCTTCGAAGAGACATTAGGGGAAATTCCAGACGAGGTCCTTGATGCTCCCATTACAGAAGTTCCCTCTGGTAGTACAGATACATTCATTAAGGCGAAGAGTTTGTTACCTCCTCCATACACAGTTAATGAAGAAGAATTACTATATGCTTAAAATATACATTATTTTTTTTACCTTCGTGTTTGTATCCACTGAAATGTATTCGTTCTTTCAGTATTATGTGTTCTAGTTGCCTCATTTTTTGGGATGTAAAAGTGAAATCTTACAAACTCACTGCTGCTATGAACAGAAAGCAGGAGCTACTGACATATTTTTCCAACTTTTTTTTTAATATATACAGTCTATTGTGTAACAAATTCAACCTAACTATACAGACCAAACTTGAAGCCTTGATATTATTAGATTCTTTTGAAATTCAATTTATACTCAATCTAATAACTAGCCTTAGCATCTCATTTGCTTTGAACTTTTGCAATTTAATTTGTCTGATTTTCTTGTTTCATTATTCCTTTTATCAACTTCCTTCTTAATATTACCTAGGGATTAATATTTGTGGAGTTTTTCCAGAAATATTATACATGACTTTAATTTTCAACAGTGTTTTTCTTTTGTTGTTGTTATAATTTCAGAATAAATATAAATTTCTCTATTGAAATAGTCCAGTTGACTTAAAAATTCATTGGAAAATTTTAGTAGTTAATCGGTTGGTTGTCTACATAAATTTCACTTCTGATGCAATTTTGATTTGTGGAGAAACGGTAACATCAAAAAGTTCTTTAATTAATTGGTTGGTTGACTATGTAAATTTCACTTCTGGTGCAATTTTGATTCATGGAAAAAAGGTAATATCAAAAAGTTCCATACTTAATTGGTTGGTTGACTACGTAAATTTCACTTGTGGTGCAATTTTGATTCATGGAGAAAAGGTAATATCAAAAAGTTTCGTAGTTAATTAATTGGTTGATTATGTAAATTTCACTTGTGGTGCAATTTTGATTCATGGAGAAAAGATAATATCAAAAAGTTCCGTAGTTGATTGACTACGTGAATTTCACTTCTGGTTATCAAAAAATATTAAAAAGTTCCGTTGCCGGGACTTGAACCCGGGTCTCTCGGGTGAGAGCCGAGTATCCTAACCAACTAGACTACAACGGATTGTTGAATATGTTATGTTATCTTTTCAATATATCTCAATAAGATAATACTCCATTAATACATTTCACAAAAGGAAAAAAAAAAACATAATACAGTAGCAGTTGTAACAATAGTTCCTAGCCATCATGATTCTAAAATTGCACTTCCTTTAATTTCCTACTACCCCCATAAAATTGCCAATGATTGTCTCAAGGAGAAAAGGAATTGAAGAAATGAAATTAAGGGACATGTATAAAGGAGAAAGGACAAAAATTAATTCCGCAAAAATGTCAACGGGTGCGGCTCGGAAGGGCATTTTGGGAATAACACCCCCTTTGTTGTGTATTTAACGTTTGTACATAAAGCTTTGACAGTTAAACCTCCTTCGTGACGTATATTCACATTTTCCATTTGTATCCCTTTGCATGGAACAGTTTTGCTGCATTTTAATTTAATTGCAGTTTGTGTGAAACTCGTTCCCTTTATATTTTTGAACATTATATTACTCACACGCACTGCTTCTTTCTGGAAAAAAACATAAATAAATAAAAAATATTAGCAATAATCGTAATTAAATTAGCATTTTCATAAGTCATATGAGAAAAATATTAGTTGCATAGTTTATTAAGGTCAGTGGTAATTTGTGCAAAATTTGGAAAATTAAAGGTTTGAATTGTATCTAATGAAAATACAAGGATTAAGAAAGTAATTAATCAAATATAATGGGTCTCAGGGTGAATTATTATAATATTGTGTTTTTTTTCATTTCCATAATACAATATTTTTGGATATAAAAACTCCTTAATTATTATCCCACTTGTGCCTAATTTAAGTGATATCGTTCAGATTTTAAGAGTCAAGTTGTTTTTTTTAATTTTGACAATGAAATACGTAATTTTTTTGAAATAAAGTTTAAATTTTTGAAGATCGCACGTAGAAAATTGACTATTTAAAAAAAAATAGAAATCGTATAAAAAAAATTTCGATCAAAGAAAAACTCGTTTGACTCTTGAAATTGCCACAATTGGGATTGGAGGAGGGGGTATTTTACTAAAGTTATTCCCAAAATAATTACTATTACTTTCTACTTCATGAAGTGAGTATAATTCTAAATTATTATTATTGTTATTGATAGTGTGTTTAATGAATATAATTATAATTATAATTACCTGCTCTTTGCATGGTTTATCTTGGTCACAATAAAATTGATCAATGATTATGGGGTTGGTCACATTCACCATCTGTATATTTTGAAAAAGAATATCTTTTGCATATCCACGTCCTCCCTATTTAAATTATAAACAATTAAAAAATGTTAAACATACAAAAACACAAGAATATAAACTGTAATAAAACTGCTAATTAAGGCTAATAAGTTTGAATCAAAGACAAATCTATTTTATATCTTGAAAATAATAAATAGAATAAAATATCAACTTAGATAAAGTGAGGTGTTAATAACGTTATTTACCAGTTTTTCAACAAAAACTAAATAGTTGCTAGGTAATTAATTTGCTAAATGAGTGGTGAAAAATCATTAGGAACTGAAAATAGATGATAACTGAATTAATATTACTTTTTTTTTTTAGTGTTCGGTACACAGAGTTTGATTAAATTCAATTCGCACCGAAAAGTGTCAGAGGGTAAAACACTACTTAACGAAGGCGACTCCATATTTTGGAGGAATCAAACTTGAGACTTCTGGTTAATGACGAAGAAATACTTATCATTCCACCACAATTCTTAGCTTGTTACTGCAGAATAATTATTACTTTACCTATTTAGAGTAATTTCAAAAATAGATTTCTATTTTTATTTCTCGCTATATATTCTTAATATTAATTACTTATTCTTCAAATTATTTTTTAAGATCTGATACAATACATTTTATATTAATAGAAATAGTGTGATTAAAGAGTCATGTTAATTATTATTTTTTTAATGGAAAACCAAATGATATAATATATACCTGCCAAGACTTTATTCTTAATCCATTAGTTGTTCCCCTCAATGTAGCATCATGTACATAAATATTTGAAACAACATCCTCCTCTTTATTTTTACCCAAGCTTCCAATACTATAAAGAAAAAAATTAAAATTAGTATTTTTTTTATTATTATATAGATATATATATATTTTTTAATAATTCTCTACCATATATACTAGGCATAATCCATATATTAAATCGTAAATTTGATTTCAAATATTAACTTTGACCTCAAAATTTCATAGTGCACAAATAGGCATTTCAACTATCCCATCTTTCAATAAATAAACACGCGATTCCTACCTGGCAAAATGCACGCATTCTGCGCGAGTGAGGGGTAATTTTTGAGGCCCACAATGGTAAAAAAAATGCTGAAATGACAATTCTACTCTTAATGAATCTATTTTATATTAATTAACATTAATTTTAATTTTTTTTAGTTTCAAAATGACATGTAAGATATTTTTTTTAAAAAAAAAGATATGCAAAATGTTTAGTTAGTTGGCAGCCACTGATTGGCTCACTAATACACGTGGGAGCGTTTGCATTTCATGCACTTTGGCTCCAAAAATCGCGTGTTTATTTATTGAAAAATAGGATAGTTAAAGTGCCTTTTTGTGCAATATAAAAGTTTAAAGTCAAAATTAAAATTTGAAACTAAATTTACGGTCCAATATATATATTACGCCTATATCGTGTATTGCATATACTTACCTTATTCCATGGCCAGGTCCACAATGTATATATCTTGCTCTAACATTAGTGGAACCATTTACTATTGAGATACAATCATCACCTAATTAATTAACCCAAAAAAACATATAATTAATTAATTAATGTAATTTATTTTAATTTTTTAATTAATAAAAAAAATACCTGTTTCAATATATGAATGGTGAATATCGATATCTTTTGTCCCCGAAACATGAATTCCATCAGTGTTTGGGCTATCATAAGGTGCTGTAATTTTCAATCTTGAAACTTCAACAAGTTCACTTTTTGTAATTGTTAAGTGCATTTTTTGTGGATTTTTAAAACCTAAATTTCTCACTTTCAAATTTGTACAATTATAAAAGGACATAGCCTGTCAAAAATTAAGATATATTAATATTAGTGTTTTATTGCTTAATTTTATAAACTATATAATAATATTTTTATATAAATATATAAAAGTTGGGTTGAAAGTACTTACAGTTGGAACTGTTAGTGTTTTTGTATTACATGGCTGCAGAAAAAAGAGAGAATATTAATGATATAATAAAACATGTAAAAACGAATTGATTGTGAATTTTTATTTTCTGTGGTATCAAAAGTGAAAAACAATTTATATTTGACGGATTAAGTCGAATTAATATTTTTGGGAAGGATTTTTTTTTTTCAGAAACAATTTTTACTTATGTTTAAAAAGATTTTTTCTTTCATTAGAAAATTTAATTTAGCCTCGTAGAAGTTTGACTAAATAGACTATAAACATAAATATTTTTTTTAATATAAAGGTACTTTTTAGAGTACTCAAAAATACTTTTTCTTCTTCTAAAAGCTTGTCTACAAACAACTCATTTTTATTTTTCTTACAAATATTTTTGACCTTGCCTTTTAAACTCATCAAACAAAAACACATTTTTTTTATACATGGTGTAACATAGAAAAATAAATATTTAAAAAAAAAAAAACTCACAATAGTTTTATCAACTTTGCAAGAATTTTTCCACCATATTTGTCCATTGCCATCAATACTTCCAACACCTTCAACTATAAAATTTTCCATATTTTGGAATAAAAGCCAATGTCTTTTATCTTCATTATAATCTGATATATCTTTTGAAGCTCTTAGTTCTCCATTTATCTAAATAAAAACAAAAAAAAATATTTAAATAAAAAGAGTAATTAGGAAATTAAATTACAAATTTTAGATCTAAATTGTACTAATATATAGTACAAATATTTTTTATTTATTAAACTCACCATCATTCTAAGTCCTTTCTTACAAGGACCATGAAACTTAATTGGTCCAATGTAATATATTTTGTGTCTTGGAATTAAAAGCACACCATTTTCTGTTTTGCATGTCTTCTTCCAAGCCTTTATGAATGCCTGAAAATTGAAATATTTATACGATCAGATCACCTTACAAAATAAGTATAACGTAAATCTCTCCGTAATACACATTATTGACAACATTATAGGTTTTGACTACACTAATAATACAATATGTTTACAATATCTGTGTATATATATTCTAATTCATTCCAGGATTATTTGATAGGGCACAGTCAAGTAGGAGAAAGGAGTTCATTCAAATTTCTTTCGACGAAAAACGATATATGTTTCTCTCTTCACATTTTAAACACTCGAAAAAAATTCTAACTACGTCACTGTTATTTAACATACAAATTTGACTTATTATTTTTTTACCTGTGTATCATCTGAAATTCCATCACCTTTGGCTCCAAAAGATTGTATATCAATAATTGCTTGTGTTCTCTTTTTCACATGACCATGTTTTATTGGTTTTTCAATCTTCTTTTTTCCATTACAAGAAGTTGCAAACAATGAAGTGGCTAATAATACTATAAAGAGAATTCTAAAAAGCATTTTTTTGTGTTTTTTTTTTTTGCCTTTTTTTGCTCTTGTTGGAACTTACAAAGGAAATAAAAAATCAAAATGAAAAAAGAACTTTGTACTAACTCAATTTGATCATAAAGTACATATCATCAATATATATATATATATATATGAAGGAAAGAAATTAATGGTTCTTACAAAAAGTATTATTTTTTAGAACAAAAAATGAGAGGAAAAAAGAAAGTCAACAATTTGAAGATTCAGTTATATTTCAACTTAGGAAAATATAGTATTTTCTCACAATAATGGTTTCTTACTTCCCTTTTGCTTGTTATTAGAGTCATCCATCATACAAGCATGACTTTGTAAGAAAACCAGATAACTTCCTAATAATTCATCTAGTTAAACCTACTTTAAAGTTTACTGATCCGACTAATTTAAATTTACAATACTGTAAGAATTTCCACAAGAGAAGTTATAGCAATTCGTATTGAAGTGGATCTTATTCTCGAGTCCTGGATATGACCTCTCGATTCTAATTAAAAGTAAGAAATTTTTATCATTCACCAACCAAGGGCGAAATTTGGGGGCAACTCTATCCTTAGTTGAAAAATTATATTATACGCATATGGTCAGGTCAATATATATATATATATATAATATTGAATTTTCTTAATTCTTCAAATTTTTATTTTTTTATATTTTGAATCTCTTTAATTAAAAAAAAATTAGAAACCATTTTAGGGTAGGTTAGCTAAATATACTTCTAATATAAAGGTTTGGAAAGAGTAGCTAAGCTTCTCTAACTAAATATATTACTATAATTAGAGATTTGTAGAAAACATAATATAGTTTTAAAAAATGTCTGAAGAATAATTAACTTGACTTTGGAGACTTTTTTTTTTAATCAATACTTATATAGGATAGAAATTAAAGGGAACATTTTATAATATAATGGTTAATTTATTAAAGTAAATATGTGAACGTTAAATGTAATAAATCCATGGATTTGGAATTAAAAAACTCATCATAACCTTAGATTAATTTAATTAGTTGCCGGAATACATGAATTTAATACTCCTTCTATCCTCCATCCTTATACAATTAGTCCTGATGTTTCGCGAGAATTAATTAGATTAATTTTTGAAGATAAAATTATATTAAAAACATTGTATGTTGCGATTCTTTGATGAAAAAAAATCATACACTAATCAAAATTTAGAGAGTTCAATTCTCGAAAAAATAAAACCTTACAAATATTTTAGTAATGGTAATTAATTTTCATAAACACACTATCTAGTGGAGCATTTCTATAGGAAATGATTATGTAACAAACAAATGAAACGTTGAATCGTGTTTATATAGTTTTTTTGAAAACTTTATATAAAGTCAAAGTTTCCCAGAAAAAAAGAAAAATAAAGTCAAACATCTTTTGCTAGACTTATAAATTAATAATATCTCAAAACACTTCTCAATTTCTTATTATCCTATTTAAATTAAGTTTGTTCATAAATTCTCAAATATTTTTGTTAAAAAAAAAATTGATCTGAAAATGTATTTCACTTCTTTTTTTTTTTTGGAAAAACATGACTTATAGTCTTATAATACCAACCAAAACGAATTGAAAGGTTCATTAATGTTCAAATTAATTAAGTCCTTTACCACTTTAGGTGTTCATTATAAGAAAGGAATTAATTAGTCTTTTATTGTTAATTTTTTGTGTGTGTGTGCGCTAATGCACATTGTTAATAAGGATATGGAGTAGTTTGGTAAGGAATATTGGGGAAATTAGCATTAGTTTAGGTTTAGAATTGACTTTTATTTTATTTATTTTTTTGTGTGTGTAAGAAAAGAGTAAGTTTGAAGAAGATAGAAAATGGGAGACTTGTGTTTAAGTGTGATTTGGTAGAGTTAAAGTCTATTGTTCTAACTTGGCTTGCTAGCTATAGTGTGTTTGGACAAAATGCATTTACTTATGGATTAATATTATGAAAATATAATTTGTATATACTTTTCAAAGAAAAATTGCATGGTGTTAAATATAACAAGATTCATATCAATGCTCAAAGAAACGAAAATAAAGAAAGATAATATTTAAAATATTATTGGAAGGAAGGGAAAATATGAAATTCATTTTTTATTTTCTTTGGAGTTGGAATAACTTGTTTTTTCAATCAATTCTACGTCAAAAAAGTGAGTTCGAAATTAAAAGGGTAATTTTTTTCTTTTGAAAAATATAAACGGCATATCAAATTTTTATTTTATTAAAGCGGCAAAATCTTCTTTTGACAAATATTGATGCTGTTAAGTTTTTTTTTCTCAAAGATCGCTGCAGGAACAACGATTTTCTAAAAAAAATTATTTTCAGACCAAAAAATGGCTGCCTTTTATAAAATAAAAAACAGAAATTTAAAATTAAAATCGTTGTCAATGAAGCGATTTGCTTTAAACCCCCTTTTTTTTAACCATGGTTGTCACTTGATTTTTATTTTTATCCTTTAAAAAAAGGAAAAAATGTATATAATAGCAAACTAATAACCTAAATTAAATGGAATAGCTATGGTTTGATTTAATTGTGCTCCATAGCAAACATTAGCTAAAATTTGCCAGCGTCTCTCTCCCAAAAATCTCCTTCGCCACTCTCCATTCTCGCTCGCCTCTCTCGCTTTATACGCAGAAGTGTATAATTCTGTTTTTATTTTGTATAAAGCGAGAGAAAATTGTATATACACATGCAAAAATGTATATCTTCATGTTATACACTTAATTATACAATTTACAAACATTTTACTTCAAATATTACAGAGAAAAAGGTAAACGAATTATACAATTGCAGTGAAATACAATTTTCTCTAGCTTTATACAACAGAAGTGTATATATTGTGTTTCTGTTTTTGTATAAAGCGAGAAAAACATATATCTTCTTGCTATACACTTATAATTATGCAATATACATAAATTTTAATTCGATTCAACTGTATGCAAAACAAATTATACAATTGCAGCGAAATAGGCCAGCGAATTATACAATTGTATATGTATAGCAAATTATACAGTTTTATGTTTGCTATGGAGCACAATTATGCAAAATTTGCTATAGCATACAAATATGAATTTTTTGTTTGCTATATATGAAAGTTGCACTTAAAAAAAAAGGTTCTTAAGAAAATTCAAGGCAGCCACAAACGAAATTTTTGATAAAATATTTGGCAGCAATTTTCTAATTTTTTCCCAATAAAATCGCTCCTTGGCTAGCAATTTGTAGATTTTTTTTTTAATTTCTTAAAGAGAATACAACAACAATTTTCATTTTTCTAAAAAAGAAAATCAAGAAAAACGCTGCAAGGGCAACCATGTTTGAAAAGTAACTTTTTTTTAGACAAAATTGCTGCCACAACAATGATTTTACAGAATTTTTTTTTTAGTAACGGCGTCAATAATTGTTAGAAGGAAATCGCTCCGTTAGAAGCAGTTTTGCTCTTTTGGTTAAAAAAAATTGATATGCCGTTTATTTTGTTGAAAGAAAAAAATTGTCCTTTTAAAACCTGACACCTAAAAAAGTTATCATCTATATGGAAAAGTATTTATATTACTATTTAGCTCATCGTGATCCATCATATTTTTGTTTAAATGATATTTTAGGTCAATCATTAAGTCAATATAATTTCCCCTTTTCAACACTCCTAAACTAGAGGTGTTCATGGTTCGATTCAGAAATGTTATATGTTAAAATTAAAATCAAATCAATCTAGTTGATTTTTTAAATTTCTAAAATCAAATCAAATCAAATAAAAAAATAACTTTCGAATTTGGTTATTGATGTTTTGGTTTGGTTCAGTATTTTTTATTTTTCAACTTGAAAGTAATTACTTTTTGAGGACATACATATCTTGATAGACACAAACACCTAGTACATGAACAATCCACAGAAAAACTATTATTGATTCAATTAAGCAATACCAAAGTTATCATTACACGAACAAAGTGATTTAATTAAAAGAAAATGTGACTATCTTACGAAATATATAAGAGTATTTTTGGATCAAATTATTAATTAAGCGTATTTTTTTTTTCATAATTTAAAAGTATTTTTGTCAATTTAAAAATAAGAAAAACTGAAATTTTTTTGTGAGTATGTGTGGTGGGACGTGGCCTATGGCTTCACCATATACACACTAAGAATTAGATAGTAATAGACAAACGCCATACTACCACAAACTACTTTATCAGTTTCATTTTATATAATTTTAAATATTTTGTTACATTTACGAAAAATTAAAATTAGAATCATCCTATCATATATTCTTAATAGAAATAATATGCCTGTTATTATAAAAACACCATGTGTTTAAACTTACGAGCTTTAACATAGTACTAAACATTTTCTTTTCTTAAAAATAAATAAAATTGTACATAACTAAATATTCGGTAGCTTTTGATCACATCTGCTATAAGTATTTTAATGTACACTCAATTCTTGTACATTAATTTAAGTTTATCCTAAAAATCTATAAACTTTATATTCTAATTATTTGTTTCTATAATTATATACCATTATATAAAGGAAAAATGACTTAAATATATATTTTATTTTATCATAATCTCTAAAATTACTTACCATTTTATAAAAATTCAAAAATTCCCGCTCGGATATATACTTCCCCCTTTCTCTGATATATCCCTCACCTATGTATCGAGATGTCTGTTGATGAGTTCGAAAGTCAAGTGATGTCTCTGGATGTCCTATTCCCTTTCTGATACATCTCTCGCCTCTTTGATACATCCCTTACTTATATATTCGGACTCGGATGTCCAGTTTTGTATCTGGAAGTCCAATGATATACACGAAAGGCTACTGATATATTTGAAATCCAAAATTATTATAATTTAAAAAAGGGAAAATTGTATATAATAACAAACTAATAACCTAAATTAAATGGAATAGCTAGGGTTTGATTTAATTGTGCTCCATAGCAAACATTAACTAAAATTTGTCAGCGTCTCTCTCCCAAAAATCTCGCTCGCCACTCTCCATTCTCGTTCGCCTCTCTCTCTTTATACACAGAAGTGTATAATTCTGTTTCTTTTTTGTATAAAGCGAGAGAAAATTGTATATACACATGCAAAAATGTATATCTTCGTGTTATACACTTAATTACACAATTTACAAACATTTTACTTCAAATATTGCAGAGAAAAAGGCCAACGAATTATACAATTGCAGTGAAATACAATTTTCTCTAGCTTTATACAACAGAAGTATATATATTGTGTTTCTGTTTTTATATAAAGCGAG